GTGTCACTGGCCCTCATATGTGGGATCCGAACCGGGGCCCTCTGGCATCCCAAGCGAGTTCTTAACCATCGCGCCACTCGGCCGGCCCTCAGGGGAGCTGATTTTAGACCATTGCAGTGGATTGAAGGAAAGGAGGTAGAATCAATATTAGGAAGTAAAATCTACTGAGTATTGTTACTAGTTTAGAGGAGTCAGGGAGAGGCAGGAATCTTGTGGGGAAGGAGGCAATGTTCCCTCTTCCCAGGGGGTATAGTTATTGGAGGGCAAAATTGACCATGGAAGTGGGCCTTATGTAAAACTTATGTGGGCCTGTAATTTCCAACTCAGTCCAGTGTTTCTTTCTTTCTAAGAAACTAGGAAATCAGTTTACTGAACATACAAAATCAATGGTTCAGGTTGGAAAATGAGGCCTTAATACTAAAATGCTGATGGTAATGGAGTGTGGTGAAACTTATCCCTAAACCTAGTGCCACTTGTGAAAGCCTGACTGCCATAGAGAGATGACTAACAAGAGAGGGTGTCAGAGTCACACAATAGATGTTACATATTATGTCAAATGATGTAGCAATGGGCTAATCATTTAAGAAATCAACAAATATCAATAATGGACTCAATGCCACATTGAGAATAAGGCAAACAGGGTGGGTTTTCTTAAAAGTGTGGGTTGCCTTAAAAAAATAACATAAATACTTTAATTCATTTGATGATAATCAAAATAAACATTATCAATAGTTTACAATATGCCACGCAAGGTGTGAAATGTGTGATATACATTATTTTATTTAATCCTCAAAACACTCTACGAAGTCGGTACTGTTATTATCCTATTTTACAGAGGCTTAGCAACAGCAAAAAATTTTGTTAAGGTTGTTCAGTTCTGTAAGGATTAGAACTTGGTTTATTCTTACCACTGTGAATAACCAGCTCACATATCTGAGAATAAACTGAAATTCATGTTAGTAACCCAAGTCTCTAGATAAGTCAAGGAGTAACATTTTTCTTAAGACTAATACTTGCTTTTTAAAATTTTTCTAATCAGATGTATAACATATTTCGAAGCTCTTCTGGACCAGCTCGATTTATCAAATCTCATGTTATCAAAATAAGGTAGGTAAACTTGGTTTGCAACTTCAAACCAGTACCATTAAAAAGCATTGAATCAACAAAATTCTCAGCTGCCCTGAACAAACCTTTGCAGGAACACAACGATTTCATAAATCCTGAGCAGCCCAGCTTATACTGCCTATTTCTTATTCACAATAGAAAGATGTAAAGTGCTCTAAGACAAGAGAAATGTAAATTGTTAGATTTTTTTTTTAATAAAGGTACTCTCCAAGAGAAAAAATTACAGAAAGAGAAGAAATGGTGCTGCTAACACATCCTGCTCCTTAAGCTAGGGACTCAGTAGAACTTAGTTTAGTTCTTGATTGCCCACATTTTAAACCTACCCAATAGTAGGCCTATGGATTATTCTGCAATAAGGTTTTTTCTTTAATGCCATTGTATTTCTATTATTATTTCTAACGCTTTTCATTTTTATGCTCTAATATAAGGCAATATCCATAAATTGAACATACACTTGTTGTCAGAGACTGAAAGAAATTACTAGAATCTATTCTGAATGTGCTTTTTATATCATGTCCAAAGGCTTGATATTAATAAATATCAATAAATAGGCTTGATTCTAATAAATATTAGAATAATATATCTTTTCTACCCATTTTGATTAAAGTTTTTAAACTTTCTCTGTAGATATGTATCTATATCTAGCTACGAGTATATCTACACTTCTTGTCTGCTTTACTTCTTTTTTTTTTAGAGGTCAGCGTCACTGGCCCTCATATGTGGGATCCGAACTGGGGCCCTCTGGCGTCCCAAGCCAGCTCTTAACCAACGCGCCACTCGGCCGGCCCTGCTTTACTTCTTGATTTACTTCTTTACTTGATGATAAAGTAAATACACATATGGTTAAGGAGCCCATGTCTTTTCTTTCTCTCTCCCCCTCCCTACTTTTGCTCCTTCCTTACTTTCATTCCTATTCCTTCTCCTTCTTCCTTTCTTCTTTCTTTATATGTTTCAAATTAAATTCATTCTCAAAACATGACTAGAGGCTTCCTAGACTTAAACATTACAGTATAAATTAATATATTTGATGCTATTATCAAAAGATTTTCTTTTATAACTGCTTTCTCTAATGACTCGCTTATCAAACACATATTAACTGATCATTAAACCCCCAAATATCAATGGTTTAACACAAAAAAGATTTGCTTCATTTGATGGTTCAGTTCAACAAGTCAGTAGTAGCAGCAGGGGATGTGCTAGTGGGGGTTGGGGAATTGCCCACTGGGTTTTCTGCATCAGGTTGGCAAATAAAGGAGGAATGAAGGCATGCAAGTTGATATGGGAGGCTTCCAGGGACCAGGCCTGGAAGTGGGTTACATCATTTCTGCCCACATTCCATTGTCCGCAATTCACTAGAGAATTTCAATAAATTGCAAGGGAGCTCTTCCAGGGACGGTGTCTACAGGCATTTAGAATAGTCCAGCATTTGACATACCATCGGAGTCTGTCCTGTAATACAGCTTCTAACAAAACTAGGCTGTCTCGAACCCTTCGTAATAGAATTGTTTACTTTTATACCAAGACGGCTGAGAAAGGACCAAAATCTGCATGTGGCATGTGCCCAGGCCGATTTCACGGAGTTTGTGCTGTGAGACTTAAAGTTCTAATGAGATTGTCTGTAAAACGAAAAAAATATGTCAGCAGGGCCTACGATGGATCCATGTGTGCTAAAGGTGTTCGTGATCAAGTGTGCTTTCCTTATCGAGGAGCAGAAAATTGTTGTGCAAGTACTGAAGGCACAAGCAAGTCTGAAAGCTAAATCTAAAAATGAAGTTTTTTGAGTAAAAAAAAAAAAACAATTAAAAGACTAAAAATAAAGTTAAATAAACTCAAAAGAGTCCAGGAAATAAAATCTACATCTATGCTCAGGAGGCAAAGGCAACTGGGTTTGTTGAACACAAAGCACAGTCTCTACTGAAGAATAATGACATTGGCTACAACCTTGGCTCAGAACACCTTAAAAAGCAAATTATATAAGTGCATGTAAAGCAGGATTTCATGAACATCTCCTTCTCCCACAGGCCCCTCTAGACTATGAGATAAGTAGAGGCAAAGAACATTTTTTTTCGGCTATGTACTCAACCAGTAGTTGTAGAGATAATTTAGTAACCTAATCTACACATATGCCATCCATTATGTTTCTTAAAAATTAGCGTTAATCTTAATACCTAAAAATAGTTAATTATTAGAGAACTGGCTTTATTGTTATTATATGTATTTATTTGTTTTTTTGCTCTTCAGTCCAGATGAAAATGGTGTGAACGTTCTTATGGTGCTCATGTTTCGATACCCATCTACTGGTAGTGCTGAGCAAATCAAGACAAAA